ACTTTTTTTTGAGTGGACATATTGAAATGAGCGATAATTTTTTTTAAAGAAACATAAAAAAAATTAAAAAAAGTTGACAAAAATCTGGAAGCGCCCTAGAGCAGCGGAATAGTTCGCTAGTCTTTTTTTAACGCTTGTCTTGTAACCTGCTTAGCGTGAATTCGAATCCAGATTTTTGTGAACTTTTTTTAATTTTTCAGTTTCTTTTAAAAAATTATAGCTTATTCCAATATGTCCACTCAAAAAAAAGTTATAAAAGTAAAAGTAAAAAAAAAAATTCCTGTGTTATTTAAACGTTACATTTATTATACGTCTAATTTCAACCTTGAATAAGTATTAAAGGAGTGAATTTACGAAAAAATTATAAGAAACATTTTTTTAGAACGTTCAATTTTCTTCAAAAATATATAGAGATCATTCCAATATGTTCACTCAAAAACGAGTTATAAAATTTCAAAGTTAAGAAAAAAGAATTCCTGTGTTATTTAAACGTAAAATTGGAATTCACGATGAGCGACCTCTAAATATTAATATTAAGAGCTACAATTTTCAAAGGCTTCTTTTTTCACTACTAGGAAGATATTTTAATGCGGGCTTTGAAGAAAAAAAAATATTCGATTTATTTGAACCAGTCTAATATATATTTATAAATATATATATTATATGTATTACATTATGTAATTTACATAAAGGGTGAACTTCTGACAAGTGTCGCTTTAATAATCAGCTGTCAAACGCTTAGGTTACAAACGAGTATTTTTGAGAATAAAGCCGGAAAATGTTAAAAAAATATCAACAAAAAAACCGTGGATCGATTTGTTGTGTTGTTGGGTGTATTTCGAGAGGAAATCCTGAGTTGAGTTTTTACCGGTTTTCCAATAAATAGTGTTAATCTGAATGAAGAAATAAATTGCATACAGTCTCTGTAAATATAAATTGTACCTATTGCTAATTGTACCTATTACTAATTAGATACAATAAATACACATTTTAGTAGTGATTAACGTAAAAAGTGTAAAAATCGTCAAACAAATAAATCGTCTAAATTTAAACAGCATTTAGCATTATTAAAAGCGTTGATTAAGAATTCTTTAAAGTCTCCACTCAACGGTAAAATACCATTATATTATGTATTATATGTAATATTATGTTGCCATAAATTCGTAGGTATATTTTGTTGTTTAAAATGCAGTTGTCGGCGTTTTTTAGAGAATGATTGATTTTAAGGTTATGTTTGTGCAAAAATTATTTTTTACTAATTTCTTAAAAATGTCCAAACTTAAATATAAATTATATTAGGTAAAGTTATCATTAGTTAATTCTGCTCCAATAAATGTATTTACCGAATTGGATCCTTTAGCAAAACATGAAAATGCCACGATTTAGTTCTTGAATTTTATTTACAATTAAAACCACAATAATTCACCATGATCCCTTTGATAAATACACACACTAACGTAACTATATGAGCATTTAAGCGTTGAGATTCTTAATCAATGATATAAGGAATAATCAATCGAAATCGAGTACTAAAAAAAGTTCTTTAATTTTTTCCTTGCAACGTAAAACACAAATAACGTGCGCGATTTAGTTGTGCAATTGAACAAAATTTGTCGAGTAAGATGTATAATCGGTGCTTTAAATTTATTGTTGACAATTCTTAAATTCACGCAATGTACACACTGTGTGGAAGTATGTGCGAAAACCCGATACTTCTTTAGGGTATAGTCTGACAAATCATCATGGAAACTTTAACGTTAGATCAACGCTTGCAAATTGTCGAAATTTATCATCCAAACTATTGTTCTGTGCGTCAAACTTATCGTGCTCTTGGTGAATTTTATGGTATACATAATCGCCCAAGCGAGCGATGCTGCCGAATTATAGACAAATTTCGAACGAATTTTATGCTGCTAGACATTAAAATAAAGACAAGAACTAGAACTGTGCGTTTCCAAGAAAATATCATCGCTGTTGCCGACTGTGTTGAGAAAGATCCAAATTTGTTGTCAATTCGTCGACTTTCGCAGAAAGTTGGGCTTTGTTATTCGACTATAGTCGAATTACAAAGCCCAACTTGGAAAATTTCGGGTAAAAATCTTGGTCTGGTGCCTTACAAGTTCCAGCTTGTCCAAGAACTTAGGCCGCAAGACCATCGCTGGCCTCTTATATTCAATGAATGGGCTTAAAATAAATTGCAACTTGAACCAGAATTTAACCGCAAAATTTTGTTCAGTGACGAAGCACATTTTTGGCTAAATGGTAATGAAAATAAACAGAATTGGCGCATTTGGAGTGAAAATCCAAAATAATCCAACAATTACCGTTAAATCCATAAAAATGCAGGGTCTGGTGTGAATTGTATGCCGGTGATATCATTGGGCTGAATTTATTTAAAAATCAAGCTGGAGAGCGCGTTACCGTTAATGGAGATTGTTACCGAGCAATGATCAATAATTATTTAATTCTGAATTTGAACGGTATACCGACGGTGGTCGAGTGGTTAGTGCATGCTGACTACAAGCCGGAGGTCGTGGGTTCGAATCCCACCAGGGGTATGGCTGTTTATTTGTGTTTGTCCTATTGTGTATTAGTCCTTCGGAGGGGACTTTAAGCCCGCGGTCCGTTCCTACCCCTAACCCGCACAAGCCATTCAGTTGGCTTATGGGACTTCTTAAGAAGTAAGGGTGGAACTAAAAGAGCACTTTTTTTTTGTATATTGATTTGGAAGAGATGTGGTTTCAACAGGATGGCGCCGCATGTCATACAGCCATCGATTTATTGAGGGAACAATTTGGTAAGGGAACAATTTGGTGAGAAAATTATTTCGAGGAACGGACCTGTTAACTGGCCTCCGAGGTCTTGTGATTTAACGCCTTTAGAGTATTTTCTTTTGTATATGCAAATAAACCAGCAACTATTCAAGACTTGGAAGCTAACATAAGTCGCAAATAAGAATTGCTTAAAAAATTAATCGGAAATTGGATTTATAGAATGCACTTTGTTACAAGTAGCTGCGGAGGACATTTGAGGAGGTCCATTCCAAAACTCGGCTTATCCATATTAGTTGTTTTTGAGCAAAATGTCAAAAACCTTGCACGTGAGTACTAACGCATATCAGGCAAACACAATACTTTAAACGAAATATAAAGGCATAAGTAAAACATTTATATACCTTGATTAAAAAGGTATAGCTCCAGTTTAAAATAATTTAAAACTACATACGTATATGCCGAGTTCTGCATAATATAACCAAAAGATAAGACAAGTTTTGGAACGATAGTCAATTTGTAAATAAATTTTATATGGAATAAGGTTAGTTTTAGAATATTATGAACTTTTCAGGGTATAGGGGGATACATGTTAAATGTACAGACACCACTAACTCATTTTTATTAAAAAGTGGATAAGCCGAGTTTTGGAATGGACCTCCTCCAGGGCCGGATTAAGAGTTTTGAGGCCCTGGGGCCGACATTTGGTGGGGGCCCTCAATATTTCTAAAAAAAAATTGATACTTTAAAACTCATGGTAAATTTTTAAGCTAGAGGAACTTTACGTAATTTTTTATTATCCTTGAATCATTTATTATTTAATAAACCATATAAATTTTTAATAAAATCGGCCAAAGCGTTTTTAAGCTATAAATAAAAAACTAATTTTTTTTAAACGAAAAACCCTGTATCTCGATAATGAAGCTTTTTCGGACACGTGTTTATAGGAACTTTTTTTCATATTTTGATTTGAATTTCCACTGAGCTTTTGTCACCACAAGTCTGAATCACCCTGTATATTTTGAATAATACGAACATAACCATATACATTTTACCCAAGTCTGAGAAATTATAAATTCGTATGCAAAACTATAAAAACGTAGATAGTAGAATAGAATTGTGAATGAAAGTGTTTGTATATACTTCATATTTTATATATTTTGAATAATACGAACATAACCTTATATATATTTTACTCAAGTAAAATATAAATTGATCTAAGTTTTGTTTGTATTTTTAATACTTACCGCAAACTGAAAAAAAGTGCATCAAAAGTCGTATTATTTGTCTGTTTTTCATACAAAATCATCAATAATAAAACAATGTTTTGTCCAAAGAAAAGAACGAAACATTATTTCGGAAACACCGGAAAATATTCCATAACACTCCAATGTACCAATAAAAATCTGGGACAAAAACTAACTTTAATATTAGATTATAAGTAATTGACTGTTTGCCTGTATTTACAAAAACGTTACGAAAAGCACTAAAGGAGCAGTTGTTTTGAGTCATAACTTATGACTATAGACTACATAAAAACGTCTTCGCGCGCCAAAACTTTGAGTGTGATAGTTAGATCTACGAAAAATTAATTGAAAATTACAGAATTCGCGCGGTATAACCGACCCAATTTTTTATTTTTTCGATATTTTTTTTCATATTCGTTTCATTAAAAAGCTATATATTGCATTGGTGGGGGCCCCTAAATGGTGGGGGCCCTGGGGCCGTGGCCCCGCTGGCCCTGTCCTAAATCCGACCCTGACCTCCTCATTTGTACGAAATTATTTTTAACCAATAATGTAATTAAATGTTATTTCATATAAGAAATATATTTTTAACATATATAATTTGGTTGTTATTTAATTTGATTTCGGACACTCAAAATTAACCTGTATAATTAATAATTAAAATAAGTAATTATAATTTGTATAATTTACAAATAATATAAAAAAAATAAAATCTATTAGCAGTTGTTATGGAATTAAACTTAATAAGAAAGAGAAGTATAATTGACATTTGTATTTATTGACAATGAACTTTTATTCTTTAACATTGATACAAATAAATTAAATTTAAATAAAAATTTTAAATAGCCTAATAAAATTTTTAAATTTTTATACTAATAAATTTATAATGGTAATTAAAACGCCTAGATTTAACATTTTCTATGTTAACCAAGAGAGTATGCGCAAATGCATCGATTATCCTGAATTTCCTTTGGCGCGCATAGTCCTTCGTCTCGATATAATGTGGGCGTAACGTATTTAACAAAATAAATAAATTTATAGTGATGGGATTGTTTAATTACATAGTTTGTTTTGGTTTTGTGTTAATAATATTTGTTCCTAATGCATCAGGTAAAAATTTAAAGTCTATACGTGGTTTATTCTTTAGAAAAAGGATTTCTTGTAACAATATAGGTTATGTTTACATAAGATTTTAGAAAAAACTTCAAATTTTCAGTAGATGCAATAGCAACTTGTTTAAAATATTTAATACACAATTTTGGGGAAAAAGGAATTAATAATTTAGTAATAGTTAAACTAAAAATCCTGCAAGAGTTGGTACAAATTTGAATATTTATAAATTTTTCAGTAAATATAAAAAAATATTAATACTTAAAATCATAAGGATTTTTATAACTGTAAAGCTTTAAAAATACTTTAAACATTTAGAAAATTCTAACCTTAAATGTTTAAAAAAAGCTTAAAAATATAAAAATCACAGTAAATTATTAAAAAATCTTAACTCAAAACTTAACTTAAATTCTTAAATACTGAATACAAAATTGAATCTATCTAAAACTTTAATATTTTATAGTTTAGCATAAAAAGTTTTAAGTCTTTAATTTTGAGTTTTTTTTATAATTAATCATAAAATTAAAAGTATAAAATAAAAATTTATTTTTAGAGTGTAACTATGTTTTATTATATGTATAAGCAAATCCTAATAAATCCTTAAATTAACTTAATAAAAACAAAGGTTCATGGCCTCATAAACTCTTTTGACTTTTTAATTCCATTTAAGTACAAGTATTTTCCATTTTAATCTTTGATATTCTTATTTCAGCGGGGATTAAGCACATTGAGGCCAATCCTGACGCCAAAAGATTATACGACGATCTTCTGAGCAATTACAACAGACTAATACGACCAGTGATCAATCACACAGAAACTGTGACAGTATGGCTGGGACTTAAACTGTCGCAACTCATCGAAATGAACTTGAAAAATCAAATTATGACCACCAACTTGTGGGTTGTCCAAGTAAGTTAATATTAACCCAGCTAACACAGTTAGATCAGTTACATCACATTTATGGAGTTCAAAAAGAACAGTGTTACAAAACCTTGTTTTATATATTTTACACATTTGTTATATAAAATGTATTAAGAACAAATACAGAACGCAGATAATGTAACTGCAATAAAACCCATATCTTTAAAAGTGTTAAGTTCTGTCCTTGTTCTGTCTTTGTTACCTATCAGAAATGCTTAAAACATACAAAGAACCCATATTTATAATTGTTACAAAACTTGATTTCGTAAAAAGTTTGAAACCATGGTTTCTGCAGATACATAACTGCAATAAAACTTTTTCTTAAAAAGTGCTAAGTTCTATTCTTGCTCTGTCTTTGTTTTGTATCAAAAATGTTTAAAAATGCAAGGAACTCAGTTTAATAATTGTTACAAAACCTGATTTCGTAAATAGTTTGAAACCAGATACATAACTAAAAAGGAAATATTTCAAAACTATGATGTCTTATTTACATTAGGGTTTTCCTTATTTTTACCGAATATCGAATTCAAATACGATCGTGTATATATATATATATATATATATATATATATTCGTTTAAGTTCGGTACAGATATCTCAAGATTCGTTTCCGATTGGCCTTTTGGTAAATCAGTGTTTCCGCCTGCAGATATTTTATCCGAAAACTGGACGTCATCAAAGATAACGGTTATCTCTGACGTTATGCTATGGTATATATTGAAACAGGTATTTTTGAAATAAAGGTCAGTGTACTAATACTTATAAGTATATAATATACTATAGTATATTATATGGGCGTTTCTCTGTAAACTGGGCAACTTGAAGTAAGAAATTGTCTAGGCAAGTTTTTTTGTTATATTTTTATTGTATTTAATAAATGTTATTCGAGGAATAAATATATATTACCGATATCGGTATATTTATTAGTATACGGCAGATGAACCAAAAATATTCCTATTACTTTAGAAAACATTGAGCATTTTCTGAAAAATCTATACAGGGGACTGTTTATAAAATCCGGAGACAAAGTTTAGATGACTTTTTTAGAATTACAAAATAATAATTATAAAAAATAAATAAGTCACAGTAACAAGCAAACAATATTGGTTGAATAATTAAACAATTAGGTTGATTCCAATAGTTACTGTCTTTAATTAATTTAGTCTGAAGTGACCATTTTGCTTTGGTGACACGTCAGGGGACTGGTTTTTAAGGACTATAAAAACGATTTTGATACATTAAAGTTTATTTTATTGGATTTTGAACGTCGAGCATAGGTAGATTAGGTTATTATCTTTTGAAGTTATCTACGAAATATTTATAATCTGATATTTTTCTAAACAATATTAGCTTGAGACAATGAGTTGCCCAGTTTACAGAGAAACGCCCATATATATTTATATTAAAGACATCTAAGTATTTCATTTTATTAGGTACAATGACGGACAAAAAATTTCGAACGACCTGTCATTCAGTTGATTTCAAAATGTAAAACTACCTTTAGAGACAACTAACCTTACTTTCTGAAAGTTGTCAGTTTGACGTATTTCATTGTTGATTGTGTTGTTTTAAGGTTAGATTCTCTGTCTACTTTTTAAAACTGCTTGTCATCTTGTCAACAATGTCCCTAAAGGTTGGTTTGCACAGAAATTTTTTTTAAATGACAGAAGTTTGATGTTCGAAATTTTTTGTGCGCCATTGTACGTTTATTTTATCCTTTTACATTTTTTTTTAATTATTCTTTTTGATTAAGTTTATATAAAAACGATTTTCTACTCTAGCCGGTAAAATTCGGTAATTTGCATATACCTATAACTCCGGAGTTATATGTTATATGTTATATGTTATTTTTGGTCGAGAACGTTTAAGAAATTCATCCGGCAACACTGTAGTAAGTGTGATTGACGGACGGTAAAGAAGATCTCGAGATTGCCGGTATCTTAGGTTATGAGCGTGACAGTTCTATTTAATAGTTTGTTCCTCGGTCTTTCGTTTTTAACTGTTTAAATGTTTTTAAAGTGTCCACACCAGATCTAATGCACGAATATACATATAAGTAGGTAAGGTAAGAGACAATAATGCCCAGAAAACATAAAAACACACCAATAACATCGCTGAGTTCCCGCCAAAAAAGACGACGTTTGGCAGCTCTTAGCAAAATTACTAATAATTTTAGAACTACAAATAAAAACCAACCCCAAAATAAAAAAAAATTGCAACATAATGTGACAGATATAGAAGTCTCTGTTTCTTTTAATTGTGATAACCTACAACCCTCAAGAAATGAAAACCAATCCCAAAATAATATTTTTTTGCAGCATCATACGACAGATATAGATGTCTCTGATAATTCCTCGGATAATTCTACTGTTTCTCAAGATTGTTTTGTATTTTTATGTTCTCAAAGTTGTTTTTTAATTTTATTTTTTATGTTGTAAACTGATAGGTACATTGTTTATTTTTATTTGGATAATGTATGAAAATATTATTTTTATATTGAAAACTGATACATTTTTTATTTGTATAATATATGTGAATATATATTTATATATATTTTTCTTTGTCTGTTTTTTTTAATAAAAGTTTTTTATTACATTTGATTTTTGTTTTAAACCAAATATAAGCCTTATATGAGGGGTCTAAATGCAAAACTCGAGATCCAATATTGAGTTTTGCAATTAAGGGTCCCCCATGCCATAGCCAATATTCGCAATGAATAATTTGCGCCGAAATCCGCTTAATATTTTAATAAATAAATGTATTTTTTGTCAAATGCCTTAAAGTATTTAGGTAATAATTATAATGTATACATTCTATAAATTTGGCAAAATATACATTTCTATTAAAATATTGGATTTCGCTGCAAATTATTGATTGCGAATTTGCCTTGGTGTAGAGGATCGATAAAAAAACTGTAAATTTTATAGAACAATTACAGAAAGGACATGTAACAAGGATGGAGCGTTTTAAAGATCTGTTATGTAAATTTGACAATAATATTAAAAAAATAAATATGTAACAAGGATGGAACTTTGATAACACATGTTTTGTAAATGTGACAATATTATTAGTGTCGCATTTACAAAACATGTTCCTTTAAAATTTTGTAACATTTATATAACAGCAATGTCAGTTGAGGCGGTCATTGTTTAGAACTAGTGTAGCGCTGGTTTAAAACTTGTGACAAGTTAGAGACAAAACACGGAACTCGAGTTTTGTAAATGTTTTATATTTGTTATTGATTTTGGCTACCTGGGAATCTTAAAAGGAAAAATACTTTTTTCAAACCCTTAAGGGGTGCGATGTGGAATAAGAACATACATATAAAGCAAAAAAGTGTAGTGGTCGGCAGGTTTCTATCTAATATGATATTATATATCCGACGTTTTCACCTTTAATCGATTTTTAATATAATTATTTGGGCATCAACACCAGAGACAAGGGAGAGAGAGACGAACGATTCCCCTATATACGGAGAGAAAAACTGATTACCATAATTATAATACCCTTTACTATAATTTATATTACTATTTGGTACAACTATCTTGTATATTGCCAGATACTATGCATATTTAGTAATTATTAAATATCCATGTATGTTAAACCTTAAGGTAAAATATTATGTTGCCATTTTAAATATAAATATTTTAAAATCTAATATTTTTATGTGTTAACAATTAAAAATTGTAACATATTTATTGTACATTTTAATATACAAAAATGTTATGAGAAAGAATTGAACCTAGACGTCGCTAAAGTTTTTTGTTTTGAGTGCGTTTCATCAACTTCAAATACCGACAGACAGGGGTTTTGACCTATATTGGGTATCATCAGTGCCGACACTACACTGTCGAGCAACTTGTAGTAGTGGAACACACCCAAAACAAAGAAATACCTGAGCTTATATCATGGTTGGTAAGCCAAAAGATGCGAGATGTAAGAACATCACGTGATCCACACCGTCTAACACGCGTCGCGACGTGGCCTTTGCCGCAATCGGTACATACTATGCAACCAAGTAGTTTCAATTCTTTCTTATAAGTATTACCAGTAATGGGTCAAGAAAGTTTATTGAAGAAACTAAGAAAATTGAATGTCATGAGTTACTATATTCTATATTATATTTAAATATATTGTTTATTTACCTTAAACATAAAGTTATCTTTATTTTTACTATATTTTTTATTAATGTGTAATATATTATAATATTAGATGTACACCTTACATTTGATTAAATCATATAGTAAATATTACTATTTGAAGATAGTAAAATCAATTTACTATACAAACATATTAAAAATTAAAATATATATTATACATTTATGATTTAGTAATATTGGTGTAATCTTTACTAAAATTGTATAATAAAAAATAGTATTTTGTATTACAATCTTAATATTGTTACCCTAAAAATTTGTTAAAGTAAATTTTACTATATTTTTTTACTATCTAAAATTTACTATACATTTTTCTCCGTGTAGTATATAATATATACATATAATATAGTACCTATAGTATAATATAGTATAATAATATTAAAGACACCATTTTTTATGTTGTTTTTACAGAGGTATAATAAAAAATATTGGTCATTAGTAATGACTCATTACACTGCTTTAAATATATTACCGTACTTGTAATAAAATCTTCTAATTTTATTATTTTTTATATTTTAAGAAATGGTTTGATTACAAGTTGCGTTGGGATCCTGAAGAATACGGTGGTGTGGAAATGTTGTATGTTCCATCTGAACACATTTGGCTTCCAGATATTGTACTTTTTAATAAGTAAGTACCAACCTTAAAATTATTATTATTTATTTGCACAACAACATGAAATCTTAATTACCTTGGGTACACAAAATGTTAAAATGTATTTAATATTAAGAAATTATTACCAGAAAACCTTTAAATAATAACTTAAAAAATGAATGTTTAAAATTTTAAATTCAAATTTGATTTTCTTTCAAGCAATTTAGTGTTACGTAATTTATGTATCAAGTTTTATAAACACCATTATATTTACTGGTTATATTAGGAACGAGCGAAGCTGGCGAGCGATTTTTAAGAAAAACGAGTGTCTATAGTTCATTCCATAAGAATGTAGTAGATGCCGCTGCAAAACGAGACAAGTTTACACAGGAGAACGCGGCAAATTTTAAATATAATTGCAGTTGTCGTTGATAGAATATTATTATTTTACAACAAATATTGACAAATCATAGCAACCCTGAATGTACTATACCATGAAAAAATAATTTACTATACTAATTAAGACCTTTAGACACAGAAAAATACATGTATTATATTATTTTCAGAAATTAGGAAGAAATAACATGAGCAACTTGAGCAACATAACCTCAATTATTTAACTGCATAATGCAGACTGCATTCCTTATTTAAATGTCAGTTGATTATTTTAATATAAAAAGTGCCTTTTTTAATACTTATAACATACTATGTCCGCCTATTACCAAACAGGTGCCCGGTAAAACGAACCAACTCAAATAATATCTACAAACTAAAGTCCTATGTAAAATTTGTTCAAATAATAAACATTGTTTAGAGCTTTTTCTATGGAGCTAACCTTCGCCAATTACGGTTCCTTATAAGCGGTTGCTACTCTAACATTATTTGCTAAGGAACATTTAATTTAACTGATCAAATGAAATTAATCAATATATTATTTTTTCATTGATATTTTAACATATATGTTTTACAATTGTCATTTATTTATTAAATATAATAAAATTTGGGTTAACCTAATGATATCAATAAAATAAATAGCAATTGTAAAAATTTGGATTTGGATTTTTTTTACAATCATTCTAAACAACTTACGTAACTACTACCATGGGTTCCCTACTTACCCCACAAAAAAAAGTTATTTAAAAAATTTAAATCTAGTTTTTTTTCTAAAGTACCTATAGGCATAAATTTATTTATAGAATACAAATGCAATTAGTGAAAGTTTTATTAAATAAAAAACCAAAATTTTACAGAGACGAATCACGTCAAGATGACCCCCCAATTTCAACTTGGTTATATAATTTAAATTTTAATACATCAATCGTAATAATAAACATATTTTTTAGTTCTAAAAACATTTATTTGTAATAAAGACTAAAGATTTTTCAATTTTAATTAAAAAATTAATTGTAAGAAAGTCAAAAATATACTTTTTTTTCATGCTGCTGATAAACTTTTTTTAAGAGAATGATAGGGGCATTATCCGTCACAATAACACTGTTTTCTTCTAATTTTTTAAGCCAGTCTCAAAAACATTTTCATTTATATCTTCATGATAATCCCCTGTTGACTTTGATACAAATACATTTAAGCCACCTTCCACAAACCCTGTTTCTGAACCAATATGGGTTGATAATATCCTTTGCCTGAAGGGTATTTTAGTCCACTTGATAACCCCGTATTAAATGCCCCCTTTGTTGTCATTAGTCCTTCCACACCTTAGGCAGCCTAAGTTAGGCTTCGTGTTGCATGCATTGATCCATGTAATATATATTTTATTTCCTTCTTAGTAAATGACATTTTATAGGTTTATTTTATTGTTTTTGTATCCAAGTACACGATACATTATAGGAACAGACCTGTAATATTTTACGGGCTTGTATAAAAGTTTTATTTCCACCTTCTTAGTAAATGACATTTTATAGGTTAATTTTGTTGTTTTTGTATCCAAGTAAACGATACATTATGGGAACAGACCTGTAATATTTTACGGGCATAAAAGACCTGTAAAGTTTTACAGGCCTGTAGAAAAGCAATTTATGAAATGAAATGACACATTTGACACATTAATTGAAATTTTAAATTTGAATATCGTTGTCTTAAGGTGAAAATAAAAGTTTGTACGTGTCACGCTTTGCAATTAATCTTTACTAGGCTCACTGAATTATGGGGTTCGCTCCTGCATCGCTCACCCCACAAACTCGCAGCTCGCCCGTAAAGATTCATTTACAAAGCTTGACACGTAAATAACTATTTACAGGCTTGTCACATTGGACACATTAATTGAAATTTTAAATTTGAAAATCCTTATCTAAAGGTAAAAATAAAAGTTTGTACGTATCACGCTTTGCAATTAATCTTTACTAGACTCACTGGATTATGACACGAACTTCCAGCTCGCCTGTAAATATTCATTTACAAAGCTTGACACGTAAATAACTATTTAGATGCTGTAATCGGTAACTTCTGATAGGTGGGCGAATATTCGTTAAATGTACATTTTGGGTATATATTTTGTCCAGGTAGGTAAATTTGATCGATTTTTTTTCCTTTGTGATAGAACAGTGTAATAGACTGCAAAAAAATTCTAGAAGTTTATAAATAACAAAAATAAACTTTAAAGAAATAAAACTTATAGGGTTAATCTGAAATAGGGAAGGAACACAAGGAAGAAATGAATCATTGTCCTCCTCCTAACGCATCTTCCTGAAGGTTTTATGACACATTGCTTTTGACTTTTTCAAACGTTATTTTTCAGAAATACTGTTAAATTTAAATATCTTTCGGCATTTATTTGGAATTTCTACTATGCTATAATACAAAATGAAAATAAAAAAGTTAACTTCTAAAACAAGAGTTTTATGTAGCGTTATGTAAAAGACACCAAAAGTGTACGCAAAAAAATCTTACCTTTAAAATATTTATAAAAAAATTCACATACTTTACACGTGCTCACTTGTTGTTGCCGAACTATCAAACATGTATGCCCTCTAGAAATAACACGATAGTATCTCTATCTCGTGTCTCTATTTCGAAGCAGTCGGCATAGAAGACGACGTTAGGAAAAAGACAAGATTTTTGAATGTCAACTTTAATATTTTTTTCTGTTTAAACTACTTTGTAGAAAACTATTTTATTTTTATATACGAATAAAAGAACTTTCCATTGTTCAAAAATAATTTATTTTTTCAGAAGAAACCTGCAAAGAAGAAGAATATAATAATTTAAATTAATTAATTAATTTAAATACGATGGATCCTAACAGGAAGGGGGTATTTAAATATAATAAATACAAAACTCAACAAAGGTCAAAAATAAAAATAAAATTAGCTGGGGACAGCAAATGTACATTTAACGAATATTCGCCCAGGTATCAATATATTTTCTTCTCCAAATTACTATTTTACTTCTTTCAACCAGTAGGTAAACGATTCCTAGCTCTTTTTTCATACTTAAAGTTTTTTGTTAAATTCTCCATAAATTTGTCTGAGAAATTGGTGGTAAGTTATCATCATCCTTTACGGCCTACAAAAAAAACAATTAGTAAATATACAAAACGTTTGTTTTTATAATAAAAACCTATTTTTATCATTTGACACCACCTGGTCACCCTCTATTTTATTTATTGTTTACATTGGGGAAATTAATATTTTTCTATTTAATTATTAAAAATATTTCAATAACATAATTATTTACTTGATGAATTTTACTTAAATTTGTAAATAAAACCACAATTTTAAGCGTCGTGATTGGTCTAAAATAAACCCTATTCAACTTAGCGCTTTATTCGTAAATGGAATACACTATAGAGAATTTTTTAGAACGAGTTGCATACTATATATTAGGGTGTTTCAAAAAAATCGACTTTTTCTTTTTCTTCAAATGGTCGGCAAATTCTTTCAGAGGATGTCAACACAAAGACCTCGTCAAAATTTGAGCTTTTAATTTGAAGATTTAGAGGTCCCGGATCGCAATTTTCTATTTCCCATTTAAATAACATGGGAATTTTTTTTTTTAACTTTGAAATTTTTTACGTCTGAATCGAATCAACTTATGTCAAGGATCATCTTAGATTTTCATAGTAAATTTAACGCTCTACAAAAAAGGTCTCCTATCATTTTTCTATAAATTGATTCCTTCCAGAGTTATTCGAGGCCAAAGTTTGATTTCCATCGAATATTAGCGTTTTTTTTAACATTTATGGTACAATTTTCATTATACGGGTGTCCCGAAATCAGGGGGCCAAACTTAAACAGTGAATTATTCGTATAAAAATAACACTTTTTTTGTTTAATAAACATGTATCAAAAAATGCTCCCTAAAGGAGCTACGGCCCCCTGAATAGGAGCCTAAGAGGATAATTTTTTTAAAACTAGAATGTTGAACATGAACAAATGAATTTTCGGTATTTTGGTAATTTTGACATGCTGAATCTAGATCTATGATCAAAACTGTTAAAATTTAATCATAGGCGTAACATTTGGAGGGGGCAAAGTTACAAAAATAGCCCCAACTTTTTTCTGGGTTAATAATTTAATTTTTTTATGAAATTATGAGAATTTATAGTTTTTTACGAAAAATAGGTACTCTTGATTTGAATTGCTCAGATGCACCATTTTCGAGAAAAATACATTTATAAATAAATTACTCTGCATATTATACACATCTCATATTTTCATTAAAACTTTGTAGTAGGCTTTGGAAAAAAGTGACGTTTTTTTGTTTTTTTGTTTTTTTGTTTTTTTTACAACACTTGTAAAAGTTGAAAAAACGAGAAAATTCGATGGAAATCAAACTTTGGCCTCGAATAACTCTGGAAGAAATCAATTTATAGAAAAATTATAAGAGACATTTTTTATAGAGCGTTAAATTTACTATAAAAATCTAAGATGATCCTTGCCATAAGTTGATTCGATATAGACGTATAAAATTCTAAAGTTAAAAAAAAAATTTCCTATGTTATTTAAATGGGAAATAGAAAATTGCGATCCGCGACCTCTAAATCTTCAAATTAAAAGCTCAAATTTTAACGAGGTCTT